TATGCTGAGCCACAAGTAAATTGAAAGGCCATTTCCTATTTTCTGACATAAATGCACATAGATGTATAAGCTCATTCATAAAACCTTGTCAGTTCCTTTTACAGGTTTTGGACCTATACTGCAGATAGGTTTGGGGATTATGTTTGTTTTAATATTTGTTCTTAAACAAATGGATTAGTCCCGTCTCGGTGTTTTGCTTTGCAAGTGTGGTGTTAAACACATTCAAAATGTTTCAGTCAAGTAAAGATTTTACTTTGTCCAAAAAACACCCCAAACCACAGAACTATAGAAACAGCTAAGCACTGTAGCCATTCCCCATATAGGGTGTTAGGATTTTACTATAAACCTAAGCTGTTTAATATAGTCTGGGTTTATGCAGTAGGTCATGGTGGTTAATGCTTAGTGATCTGAAACAAGAATGGAAGAAAATTATAATAGAAAGCTTGGTTTGAAAAAAATAACTCTTCATAGATGACTATAAGGGGGATGATTAGACTAGTGGTGTGTACCACATATTTTGGCTAAGCTGAAATGCTTTGAAAGCCTTTCAGTTGATATAAGCATGATCATCTGAGCAGGACTTTTTAGCTCAAAACACTCCTAATGTTGAACTCTTGGCATGAAGTGGTGACAGCTGCAGAAGGCAGAGGGGGAGAAGGCAGCAGTGCTGTGCCTTTGTTATGGAGAGCAGCAGAATAAGGAAGGCAGAATTGCCTACATCAGTATTGTGTGACTTGTGGGGGGGCCATGACAGCATGATCCAGCTCAGAGCACAAGCCCCCAGCACTGCCACCCCTCTGTGTGCACACAGACATGACACGCTGCCAGATTCCAGCACTTCACAGGCTCACACTGTATCCAAAACTGGAAGGGACCCTCGCATTTTTTACCCTGTCCACAACCAGAGTCATGTCTCCACCATGCCAGTACCTCAGCCTTGTGAACTTAAAGCCCCAAAGCCCAGTGAATTTGGTGATGAGTGCAAATTCATTAACCCCAGGGCACTAACTAGCCAAGATGCCAGTGATGGCTCCAGAGGCAGTTTGGTTTCTCCCTATAGAGGAGAGCCCAAAGAGCCCATATATATATAGCTCCTAGAAAATAATGCACCAGGTTTTACTTGTTCATAAAGGGCATTTGGCCATATCAGTTGTCCTCCAGGCAGCCTATCAAGCATTCTCTCAAGTCTCTCACTAGAAGTAACTGTCTTACAGACACCACCAACAGCTTGATTATGGAAGAGAACCCAAATCACCCTCACTATGTGAAATGCAGAGGAGAAAACAATGTGGCATGCCTAGACAACAATCATGGGCCCACCTCTCATCATGTCATGCCTCTATGTACCTCTGAATAACCCAGTGTTCCTGTGCAGTGGCCAGGGGGCAGCCAGTTCCCAAATACTGCCTTGAGCCCCGGCTCCTTGGGGCCCTCCAGAAGGTCCACCAGTGGGAAACAGGCTGAATGGCAATAATGGGACCAGCCTCACCAGGTGGCTCAAGGGTTGGGTTTAGCTGGGGTGAACACCAGCCAGCTCTCACTCTAACTGGTGAGTTGGGAAAGGCTAAAAAGAAGAAACTTGTGAACAAAATGCAAAAAATGTGGCAAAAACAACAAATGTAAAATACCTTTTTAGTTTATTTCAGATCAAATTCACTACCAAAGAAACAATGTTTTCATATTCCACTGCCATCCTCATGCAGACTTTTCCTTGGACTGTCTTCTGATGAGAGGAGCACCTCAGGGGAAAACACCTGAGAAAGTGGAAGAATTACTTCTGACTCCATCCTCTGCCCTGGCAGTTATGTGTTAAATTCTTTCCTAGCACAGCAGAACTGGTTTTAAAAGATTTCTCAAACCAAAAAAAAAAAAAAAAAAATTAAAGACATTATTTTTAACAACAGTGCCTGCTCATCACAGCTCGTTCAAAGGTGAATTTTGTCTGAGCCTTGGATCACATAACAGGGAGGTGCATGATTTTGAATAATAATCTTAGTTAATGGTCTAACACCGAATGTGTAGACCTGAGATAACACCTCAGGAACCTGCCTTTTTTGTGGTATTGATTCACATTTAGTCCCACAAGCGTCTGGTTTTTTTTTGTTTGTTTGTTTGTGTTTTTTTGGGGGGTTTTTTTTGTTTGTTTGTTTTGTTTGGTTTGGTTTTTTTTTATTACAAGCCTTGTAATGCCCTTGGCACAAGTATGAGCTGGTTTCCCTTCTCTGGTTTGTCATGAGGCCTCCCTCCACTCAACAGATCACTTGTACAGCTGTTATTAAAAAGCAACACCCTAATCAGTGGTGACAACACAGCTCTCACATCCTTCATATCCTCTTTCCACCTTCTTTCTCTGACAGCATTTGACTGCATCAAAAGCCCAAGTTTTAGTGACATAATCTCCCCTCTCATTTAATATTTTAGTACAAGAACAGCTTTGCTTTTATAAAGACATGGTTTAGTCCTCAAGTCATTGAGGAATATCACTGGCATCTCAAATGCAACATCCCACCTCCAAGCCAGCAGCAACTTGTTGGAGAGGCTGTTAGCCCATCATATGTTCCTTGACGTTCTGGACTCACACTCTCAGGGGAACCCATTAGCATTCACACTCTCGGGCAGTCCTCTACTCCCCTGTTAATAATTACGTAGGGAGGGGGTAATTAAAACAGGTTCTGAGGCTATGAAGAACTTCTGTCCTCCTCCACTACTTGCAGAGCCAAATGAGAACTTTAATGCACAGTTGGAGACAACTCCTGAAGGATTTTGCACCTTTGTCATGTTCTTGTTGTCATTAAGCATGATCTAATTCTCCACTTCAATTAATTAACTTGAACAGAGGCAAATTTTGAAATGTGACTGCAACACAGAATAAGTAAAATTTCCCTTGATAGCTGATGCTCTGTCACTATAAAATGGATAATTCATGGGGATGGACGAGAATGTGGGAACTAGGGACTGGTTAGTACAGGTTTCCTATGGAATTCCATCCAAATTACTGAATCTCTGCATCTTGATTTTGTCACAGAAAAAAAAGATTCCTTTCATCCAGCTATCAATCAGAGAGATCTTGAGTAGAGAGGTGCTCTCTGCCCAGTGCATTTGTCCTGTGCTGCAAACATCCAACAACAGTACAAGGATAGCCACCTCCACCACGGAGCCCTGTTGGCTGAGTAAAGCAGGGAAGCCTGTGAGCTAAAGAGCTGTGTGAGATGCATTTCAGTACAACTCACCAGTGGTAGCCTGAGAGCTACCATGGCTCTGCTCATCCCTGCTGATGGCCTCTTGACACTCCTGGTAATCAACCCAGAAGTCAGGATTAGCAGCGCACCAGCCTTGCTGCAAAAACTATGTGGGAAGTCCCACGACACTTAGGAAGAGCTGATTCAAATTCAAGCTTCAACACCTTCATAGCCTGTCCTAAATCAGAACTGAGATTACTTAAACATTCCCTTAAAAGATTCCAGAGACTGGAAATCTTAGTCCTGTCTCCCTTAAAAGCTGTCATTCAATTTGACTTAGGGGGGAATTATAAAAAAATAAAAGAGCAGATGAAGCGACTGAAAATAAATTTGCTCCCCATTTTTCCAAATTTGATCTTTTTTTAACTAAACCCTATATTATTCATGTGCTGTATATTTTATTGTGGTTAGTTTCAAAGTTGTTGGAAATCACAGATCAGTCCCTCAACCACAATGTCTTTATTATGCATACATAAATCATGCATGGAAGGGCTCTGACAGTTGACAACGATGTAAACTCTCAGGAAGCAAAGCCCCTAAGCCATGTAAAAAATGTATGCCATTGAAAAAAGAAGCATGTCATCTTTATTTCCTTTTCATGGACATTTTTGTCTTGTCATTATCAAGGAAGATTTTTTCCCCTGTACTTCTGTCTAAATGTAGTTAACTCTGAGGTAATTTGCAATGGTATTTCAATGACACAAATGGAGAACCCTTCCCCACATCTGTCTGCATCTTCAAGAATGAGCATGTTGTAATTATATAGTTACAGTTTCATTAACATCTCTAATGTACCCAATATGATTCAAAGGCTTTTGGTGAAATGCAGAAGTTCACTGAATTGTCAGGAGCATTTGGGTGCTATAGTACTCATGTAAATTATATTAGAGTTAGGGTTTTTTAAAATCATGGGTCCACTGCAAGAATCAATAAGATTGTTGTGGAGCTTTTGTGAGCAGGAAAAAAAAAAAACATAACACAAAAAACCCAAGGATTTCCTATTGTGTTATAGCTGAAAAGTAGAAAAAAGTGCTAAGAAGGGAAAATATTAAGCTAAGAGAGAAAGAGAGAGAGAAAGAGAGAAAAGGAGAGAAAGGAAAGAAAGCAAGGAAAGGAAGGAAGGAAGGGAGGGAGGGAGGGAGGGAGGGAGGGAGGGAGGGAGGGAGGGAGGGAGGGAGGGAGGGAGGGAGGGAGGGAGGGAGGGAGGGAGGGAGGGAGGGAGGGAGGGAGGGAGGGAGGGAGGGAGGGAGGGAGGGAGGGAGGGAGGGAGGGAGGGAGGGAGGGAGGGAGGGAGGGAGGGAGGGAGGGAGGGAGGGAGGGAGGGAGGGAGGGAGGAGGGAGGGAGGGAGGGAGGGAGGGAGGGAGGGAGGGAAGGAAGAAAGAAAGGAAGAAAGAAAGAAAGAAAGGAAGAAAGAAAGGAAGAAAGAAAGGAAGGAAGGAAGGAAGGAAGGAAGAAAGAAAGAAAGAAAGGAAGAAAGAAAGAAAGAAAGAAAGAAAGAAAGAAAGAAAGAAAGAAAGAAAGAAAGAAAGAAAGAAAGAAAGAAAGAAAGAAAGAAAGAAAGAAAGAAAGAAAGAAAGAAAGAAAGAAAGAAAGAAAGAAAGAAAGAAAGAAAGAAAGAAAGAAAGAAAGAAAGATTATTTGCATTTGCAGTTAGCATTTTTTGTTTCTGAAAGGCGTATTTTTCTTTTCACTTGCTTGATGCTTTCTTATAGGGGTGCAGTTCAGTGAATTTGCTTCTTTACTAAAAAATTTTTTTTTAAGAAAAGTTTTGGAGTAGTCATAAGTAGCAAATTGTGGCAGGTAAACAAAAATAAAATCTTTTGGTCAGAAAGCAAAAAAATAACCTTCCAAATAGAAAATTGGAGAAATTACTAATGGAGCACTGAATTTTGAATGTCTGTACATTGAGCTAAGGACAAAATAAAAACAAAAAATTTAAAGACCAAAGAAATTTCTTTTTCCAACTATGCACATTCATACACTGAGCTTTCAAAAGCAGGGCACTTTAGACAGACTGGTGAGCTCACATCAGTGAGTGATCACTGAACAGCCACCCATCCCTGTTGCTATGTTTACTAAATAAAAAATAAAAATATTTATTTTCTATTTAGGTGTTGTCCTGTGTGTTGCCACTGCCTGGTAAAAAGGTGCCTCCTAACTCAGTGAGGAAAAAAATGCACCTTTTTCCCAAGCAGCACATCAGCTTAGAGCTGACCTTCTCATGCATCCTTCTCTGTTCATATCCATCTTACTGCTGTAGGGTGTCTCCCATTCATTGAACTACTAATTTGCTTTAGATGTGGGATAAGACAGGTACCTACATAAAAATCAAAGGGTTGCATATCAGGGAAAGGTTCCTCACCATGAAGGTGTTGGGGCATCGAACAGGCTCTCCATGTAATGGTCACAGCCCCAGTGCTGCCAGCGATCCAGGAACATTTGGACAACACTCTCAGGCACAGGGCTGTGAGCTGGACTCAATGATCCTTGTGGGTCCCTTCCAACTTGGTGTGATAACCCCTTTGTTTCCTCTCAGCTGTTGGTTGCTCTTGGCTTCTCCTCATTGCTCCAGCATGCAGTGGTCATTATGTGGGGGACTCCATCACACAAAAATCAGCCCAAACATCAAATAGTGTAAGGCCACAATTCACAGAATCACAGCATCATTAAGGCTGTGTCATTAAGGAAAGGGACTAAGATTGTAGAGGCCAAACTTTAACCCAGCTCCATTGTGTCCATCACTGATTAATCTCATTCCTTTACTGCTAAGTCCCTCTTTCTATACAACAGCTCGGCACTAGAGAAGTTTTCGCAAAGAAATCCCACCCACTGTGCCTTGGTTCATTGGGGAATCCTCTTTCTGGGATGCCACTGTGAAGAACCAAGAGCGGCGAGCAAACACCATGCTGTCTGTTTCCTCAGAGAATCACACAGAGAAAGGAACAGCAGATATATATCTCTATCTGTGGGGGAAAATTCAGAACCAGCTGAGATGTTTGTTGCTGCTTTTATCCTCTTGCCTATGCAAATTAGTGGGGTTCAGAACTAAATGATAATGTGGTAAAAGGAAATCTAAAAGCGGTATCTGTTTCACACGCTAGTCCTGCTCCCTTCCTTTGGAAAAACACCTGTGGATACATTTTCATTAACAATTTCACTCTATCTCTTCTCTGATGTAAATTTACAAGAAAGAAGCAGGAAAAATGCCAAATCAAATGTTGCAGGCAGACTGGTGAGGTAATTAGTATATGATGCATAAGGAAGAAGAATGCCAAGCAGCAAAGCTAAATGTGTATGTCCCTGTTTGTGACAGCCTTTGGGGGAAGCTTCAATTCACTGAGGATCAGCTGTGTCTGCATTTTGCTCTTTCTTCCTCCCACTTGGTGAATCTCTCCCAGGAATGTTTTGCCTTGAGCTTTTGAACTTATGAAGTACCTGCAGGAAAGAGGAAAGAAAAATAACTTTAAAATAGATAAGCTGCTTATCTCTTTAGCTGGCTTGAATTTGCTGCTGTGTGGAGGAGGATGCTATCAAAATCAGAAGCTCAGAAGTTAGTAATGCTGGAAAAGTTTCTAGATGTAAATCACCAGTGCAGAACTCTCTGCATGTTATTCTGTATATTGCTTCTAATTCACTGCTAGAGATAAGATTAATCCAGGTACATTGAATTTGTTTTTTTCAAAAGTTATCCATAGTGGTGTTTAGCCAAGGAAACGGGACTCGTGTTGATCGTACTTTGTTCTTGTCCAGCTACCTGACATTCTTTTTCAATAACCTGTAAACCCACAGATCAACTTTAACAGATGGGCAGAGGTCTCAAAGATATTAAATTCCTAAGTTTTTCATGAAAACCAGAAGCTTATATGCTCAATTTTAACCACGAGCTGGCCTTTCTCCATGAAATTACTGGTCACTGATCAACACACAAATTTCTGAGACACAAGTGCTGCTTCTTGCTGATTGAGACTCAGGGGAAGGATTAGAGTGCCCACAAGGACAGGAATTGGGGATGTACACAGAGATTCATCGCCTTGGCAGCACCTAGGGGAGAGAAAGAGTTCAGAAATCTGAGGTAATTCCAAAGGGGTCAAAGGAAAATAGGGCACAAATCCAGAAGAAAAAACACTTTTTGAAAAAATACTTCTGTTCATCCAGATACTCTTTTTTTTTTTTTTTTTACTTTTTTCTGGGTGGTTTTTTTTGGTTGGTTAGTTTTGGTTTTGTTTTTTTTCCTGAGAATTTTGATTCAAGACATTGAATATTAAAGTTCCCATTGGCTTCTGGGAGAGTATCTGGGATATGGCCAGGGCTGGGGAAAGATTTATGAAAATAGAAGCCGTTTAAAAAAAAAGAATTTTGAGATGCTCATACTGACATTGTGATTTGGTTTATTGTACAAATAAATGATTATTTGAACAAAAAAACCCCATCTTTTGGCTTCAACAGGAAAATAAATACTATATTTAGAGCAAAAAAACTAGATATCAGTTTATTCTCACAGACAAATTTAAACTGCAAATATTTCATTTTAATGATGCTTACTTTAAACGGGGTCTTTGACTTGGTGTCTTTTTGTGGTTTTCTATGGTTTTAAAAGCTAAATTCTGTTTTAGAAGACAAAATACCACTTACAGTGACTTGAATAGAGATGAGAACTAACCTGTTGCTTTCCAACACTGACTAAACTGTTTGCATGAATAGTAACACACTATCTACATAAATCTTCTGCTTGGCCATTTTTAGTGGTTTTCTTTTAAAATTCCTATTTCTTCTACCCTTGATAGCAGATCCAGCTCCTCTCTTAAGCTGCTGGAAGTGAATTACCAACCTCACTCAGTGTGACCATGAATCTTGAATTCTTTCCCACACCACTTAGCAGACTAGTGGTTACAGCAGTTTCCTGAGAGGCTAGAATCAGGGATTTGACACCCTCATGGAGGAAAAAGGGTGCCTGTGGATAAACCATTTGTGCATGAGTTCTGTTGTTTCAATGAAGGGTCTCCATTCTGGTGTGGTAAAAAAATGGCAAAAGTATAAAAAACAGCCTTGGAGGTAATTTGAGAAAACTCATTGACTCATGCCTCTCAGGGGAGAAAAACCAGTCTCTGTTGATTTCTGGAAATTTATTGGGAGTGAGAAAAAGGTCCAGGCATCTGGAAAAATTAACCATAAAAACCTGAGGAGCCCTTGAAACATAACAGCCTGTGGGGCTAAATAACAGCTGAATCAGCATCACAGTTCTGGATTCAGGCCCCTAAAAATCCTATTTAGAGCACCTCTCCTTTTCCCAGGCTCTAGGGCCTCTGCTCTGTGACAGGAGGAACACATCAGCGCAGAGGCAGCACCAGGAGCCCCTGGGTTGTGAACTACAGCCCCTGGGCAGGCTGCATGCTAAATCCTTGTGCCAAAACATTATGAAAGGAGACAGCTTGAGTTCTTATACAGCCTTTCAGGTCTATTTTGGCTCATTACTGTTTTTGTCTTTGATGCTCCAAGGGCTGGATCTCATCTGCTTTGTAGCCAGGCTTGGAGAGATGAGGATGTTCACCTGGAAAAGAGAAGGATCTGAAGAGACCTTAAAGGTCCTTTCAGTGCCTAAAGGGGTTCCAGGAGAGCTGGAGAGGGACTTAAGACAAGGGCCTGGAGTAACAAAGCAAAGGAGAATGGCATTAAGTTGAAAGACTGTAGATTTGTGTTAGATATTAGAAGTTCCTGGCTGTGAGGATGCTGAGGCCTAAAGAAGCTGTGGCTGCCCCATACCTGGAAGTGCCCAAGACCAGGTTGGACAGGGCTTGTGAAAGTTGTCCCTAGTCATGGGATAAGGTTGGAAATGGATGATCTTGAATATCCTTTCCAGCCCAAACCATTCTGGGATTCTGTGATCCTACAGTTCTCATAGTTATGGACTGTGGTTTACATGGGGAATGTTCATTTCTGAATATGATTTATGAGTTTTAAGGTCAGAGGAGACCAATAATCTGACCCACTTTGCAGTGCAGACCACACACTTCAGACGGTGACTCTGGTATCTGGCTCCATTGACCAGGGTTGTGAGTCTGCAGGGTATTTTTTGTTTAGGGAAGGCATCATGGTGACAGCATTGTCTATTGAAAATCTCTGCTCAGCTACTCAGGAGGCAAAAAACAGTAAGAAAAGTTATATCCCAGCTCTACCCACTGTCCCAGTTAGGTCCAATAATAACATTTGGTTGCTGTCTTAATACATCTTTAAAAAGAGAGACGTTTTTGTCACCCTTCATTAATCATCTGAGTCATAAATTTCTCATCTAGTATTTATTTTACTTTTCCATTTTCTGTGTCTTTTGTGTCATGCTGGAGGCTATTGCATGCACAAAGTCATGCTCTAAAATAGTATTAATATTGCTTCTTTCGTGCCAACTGTACTCTGCTTCATTTTCTTATATTGAAATTTTGGAAATATTAAGGCATCTTAAAATAGGGTTCACCTTTTGAGGAAGTTAATTTTTCAATGTCCTCTCAGTCTTTTTCTTTCCTCTTTCTACAGTGTATATGCCCCACTTCTCTCTTAAAATATTTTCCTGTGTTATACCCGTGTTTGAAATTTGTCCTTAAAAAGTCCTGCTCAATAGAAGGACTTGACACTGGGCAGGAGGAATGTTTGGAACATGTCAGTTCTGACCTAGTGCTGTGCTGTTCTGATGATGCCCAAAGCTGGAGCACCCCAGTGAGTTTATGACTGCAGAACGCTGCCGTAGCCAGCATGTCACAGAAAGGGCAGCCCTGAAAACAACACAGGTGATTGTGAGCATGACCACAGAGCAAAGGAGCTGCAATTGCAGCTCATGGAATGCTCCTACTGCTTCAAACTAGCTTGTTTGAGCAGCAGTAGCACAGACAGCGAGCTCAGCCATTGCCCAAAATACTGGGTGAATACCTGAGGTTTCCAATGTAATCCCATTAGTCTCACACAGGGTACCATCCTACTTTATAATAATGTACACATGCCCTTCAAATCTGTGACACTCCCTGTTTATTTTTTAACAATGACATGTTCTAAACAAAACCTTTGGGTTTGAGGAAGCATCCATTTTTCTGCTTTGAACTTTGCTGATCCTTCAGAAAGGTATTCTACCTGTAGCTGATGTTTTTCTCTCTGTGGAAGACCTGTGACTTAGTAAAGGTAACCAAAATGCACATAGAAAAAAATCTGTGGGTCTTAAAAGTACAATCTTCATTAGACTTTCAGTCTACTCAGGTTCCTGAAAGCAGAAACAGAAAGCACAGTTCCTGTGTATTTTATACTGGGGGAATGGCTTCACACTGACAGATGGCAAAGTAGATGAGATTTTTAGGACTAAATTCTTGGTTGTGGGGGAGTTGAGGCCCTGGTACAGGGTGCCCAGAGCAGCTGTGGCTGCCCCATCCCTAGAAATGCCCTAGCCCAGGCTGGATGAGGCTTGGATATCCCTGGGATAGTAGAAGGTGTCCCTGCCCATGGCACGGTTGTTGAATGAGATGATCTTTAAAATCCCTTCCAACTCAAATCATTCCATGATTCTATGGTTCTGTAGGCACTCCTGTCACATCTTTAGGCTTTCTGCAACAGAACAGTTTGCTCTCCTCTGAATGCTCAGTACTATTCCATAAATCCTCTGCTATGGGAAATAATGACATGATGTAGTCCAAAAAGACCCTGTCCACTTCCATACATCCATACACACATGGGAACTGTGACCAATGGACCAAGAAGGAGACATTTTGTTGGAATTTATCCACTTGAGAAGCATCAAAAGAAAATCATCAAAAGCAAATACTTTGTCCTCTTACCTTCCTCCCCAACCCAGCTACCAAGTTTTGCAGGTAGCTCAGGGCTACATGAGCTGTAAACAGCTTTTACTTGGAAAAGGTTTCAATTCAGGCACAATTGGTGAAAGTGAACTGAACATATACTACAGTCTCACCCCAAGCTGGATATTCTTCCATGAGCTTCAGCCTGAGGCAATGATTCTGGCTCTGAACACACACAGAAAAAAAACCCAAACCAAACCAGCCTTGGACTGTCCCCAAGGACATGTCCATGGTGCCCCTCATGGACTTTTTTGGGTGCTTAGCCGCATAGATCAAATATTCTGGACCCATATTACAAGCCAAACAGCAGTGACCATCCTCCTGCCAGGAGGTAGCGAATCCTATAGGTGGGAAGAACTTTTTACAGCAAGTTCATCTGGCAGTTAGATATTGTGTTAGATATTGCCCAGTGAGTCACATTCACCTTTGCTGCTTATAAATTTATTTATGCCTTTTTATCTAAGGAGCATCCTTTACATCAGTGGTGTTGATAGGGCTGGGGAGTATCACAGGGCAGTGAGCAGAAAAAGGGAGGGAAATAATATAAAAAAAAGTAGGTGTCAAAAACTTTGAGGAAAAACTGAAGGAAAGGAAACATAAAATAAAAAAAAAAAAAAAGAAAAAAAAAAAAAGTCAAATACAGCTGGGTGGGAGATTTTTATACTTTAATAGCAAAAACTGTGCAAACAAAGCAATGTAAAGGCTGTGATGTTATCTGAGTACATAACGGCAGCAGCTGTTGAAAGGAGTCAGGTCCTCACTGCAGCGAACACATACAGCCCCACCAGAGCAGCACAGCCCACACCCTCCAGCATCCAGCACAGTGACAACTGGCACAGGACACACACAGGATTATGAGCTCGAGCAGCTGAGGTATTTTTCAAATCCAAGATGATATTTCTGCTTATTTAAGCACCAGCCAAAATAGCTCCAAGAAGAAAAAAATTATATTACCTGAGAAAGCATTCTGGTAAAGGAAAGAGTTTGGTTGTAAATCTTGGATGGATTGAGCCTGTGTGTAACAAGTAAATCCCTGCCTTTGTTCACACTGGGCACAGCAATAAGGTGGGCTTGAGTTTGGCAAAATGAGGGAAAACTGGAAGTCCAGAGCTTTACATTCCATAAAAATGTTTATTATAATTTTTTTCATTGAAAATAAGTGATCTGACTTGGATACATATGGATCTGCTTGCCTGTCTTCATTTTTTATAAATGAACTTTTATCTCAGGGGTAAAAGTTATTTTCAGCACTAATAGCACACAAACACACATGTGCATTAGTGGATATCACTTTATAAAACAAACTCCTCTTTCCTTACATCATCTGTCTCTTCCTGTATCCTTCAGAAATAGCTTAGCTGGGAAAATAGATGCAGATTTTAATGTGGAAGCAGAATTTTTTATGAGATTCCCCCTACATTTTTAGACAAATTCTTTCCATGTGGACTCTGAAACGGAAACATTTCCTGATATCATCATTAAAAACAAGAACACTCTGCATAATACTTAGATATTCTAATGCAATGTATCTGTCTTTCTCCATCAACTTTTGACTTTTCATTGCCAATCTGATAGCATTTATTGAAATTAATGCCTAGGGTTGCAGGACAGAAGTGTCATTTCAGACTCAGCAAACTCAGAAACCTTGGTTGAACTGGTGACATGTCACTGAAGTTTTGAAAATGGTTTGGTTTTGGATGTTTTTTTGGCTGGACAAGGAGAGTTACAGGACTGAGACACTGCCAATTTAACAAGGATTTGGGAATTCATGTGGGGCTTTTGCTGTCACATAGTCAAGACAACAGGAGCTGCATCAGACAATGTTAAATAAGGAGTGAAAGGCAGACTGTCCTTAGACTCCCTTCCACACAATCATTCTGAAATGTGTAACAGAAAAATTCCCCTTATTTGATAAACCAATCCACCTATGAACCCTGCAAATATAAGCTGCATATTGCAAGTTATCAGCACAACTTCAAGTTTAAATTTGCACACCAATACAAACATAATTTAGGTCTGTGTTAACTGCTGGTGACTAACACTACCCCTGTCTCTCAAGCCTGATTTAATGGATACCAAGAAGAGCTCTTACAAAATACAAGACAGTTTGCCATGCTAAGACATTACAGCTTGGTTGAAGGCAACACCTCTCCAGCTTCAGTGGGTCCATCTTGGCACAAGGAGGCTTACAAGCACTGCCAAAATACAGAACACCTCTGCCCTTTCTTAAAGTAAAAGCCAACATGTTTGGAGGACTGACACTCATTTAGCTATAGCCCCCAACTGCATCTTTAATTGCAATTATGGAATGCATTTATTGCTGTGGGATAAGGAAAATAAGCTTTCACAGTTGGTCTGTAGTGCAGTATCTCTCCACAATCTGTAACTCAAAGTGAAAGTGTCTCCAGAGAAGAATATAACAGTCCATCCTGTTATAATCAACAAACAAAAGCTTAAAGGGCTCCATTCTCAGCTGTGCATGAGAACTGAAAACAAAACTACCATTCCTGGAGCATATAGAGGGTTTCCAGTATTTTAATCTTGAAAGTTATTTTCCTGGAGCTGAGGGGAGGAGCTTGAGGAGTGCTCCAACACATCTTCTGTGATGGGGTTTGTGCCCAGCAGACCTCCCAGGCTAAGCCTGGGTAAACTTAGCAGGCAGGTAGACATCAGATGCTGGCATTGGTGATTCAGCTGCTGGATCTCCTCCATCTGACTCAGTGCTGAACTCATGCCCACAAGTATGCCACAGGAGAGACCATCTCTCAGCACAGCAGAAAGCCCAGACTATGAAGTTGTCAGTCTTTAAAGGTTCCCTGGGTATTTTCTGGGCATCATCCGAGGAGTTTATATGTGTCATTACAAAGTTAAGCCTGCATCAGCGTGCACTTTGTCTGAACTGCATTCAAAATTAACAGGATTATGATGGTTCCCAACAGAAAGCAGAGACCTGAACCCAGGGCAAGAAACCTAGTTCAGATTGTACACAAAGGATGTGTAGTATGGACAGGAAAAAATATTTAAGGTGGTTTTTTTGTTACTCTTGTATACTCCTTTGCATACAAGGAGTGTCTGAGGCCACTTGGCTTGTTCAGCTGGGACAAAAGGAGATAGCTCAGACCTCACTGGGGTCTGCAACTTCCTCTCAAGGGACATCAGAGGGACAAGCACTGATCTCTGCTCTCTTTGACCAGGAACAGGACTAAAATGAATGGTCAAAGTTGTGTCAGGGGAGGTTTAGGTTGGATATTGGGAATGGGTTCTTCCCCAAGAGGGTGTGTGGGCACTGAACAGGTTCCCAGGGAAGGGTCACAGCACGAGGCCTGGATGAGTTAAAGGAACATTTGTACAACACACTCAGGCATGTGGTGGGATCCTTGAAGGTGGACCTGTGCTAGTGCTTGAACTCAATAGTCCTAGAGAATCCCTTCCAACTCAGGATATTCTGTGATCAGGAGTGAGTTCTGGCTCCATGACACTGACCATGAGTTTGTGAAGTGCAGCCCAGGGCAAACACCAACCTCTGGTCCACACACTCATGTATTTCTGGTTTGCTTCAAACAAGTTTTCTGATAACCAAGTAACTTATTTTCACTGCATAAAGGCACATGTCCAAGGAAAAAACAAAAAAAACAAAAACATTATCAAAGCAACCTAAACCATGAGGAGATGATATTCACTCTGATTTTCCAGCCCCACCATGGTCTTTAGGCCTTGCCACAATTCAGATTCAGAGTCAGCAGGTTTCAAACCTGCTCAAAATTTTCTGGCAAGGAGTTTGGTGAAGATTCATTAGCAAAACAGTGGGAAAAATCCTGTGCCACTCTCTCAGCTTTTCCATTTCTGGGTTATTTCTATTTTAGCTGCTCTCGGCACTTAGCAGTGTTTCTGTTGCTGGGGTCATGTAGTCAGTACAGAGGAATGGAATGATTGCCATGGTACATGGCAGCCTGGTCATGCATTAATGCTGGTTGTTAATCAAGCTCCTAACAAGACTGTGGGCTCTGTTCTCTCCAACAGGCCAAACATCCACCAAAACAGGGCAATGTCAAATACAGACTGTGTCTCAAGTGTCAAATCTCCCATTTCCACAGTAATATTTATGAGCTGTGCTCAAAAAGACAGCAGTCCAGAGTGCAGTTCAGTTAAAATTTACCTGGAGTGTGTTTTTCTGTGAAGATGATGCTCAAGGTGTAGGAAAATAATGAGCTTCAAATGTCTGCTTCTTGCAGAAGTATGGCTTCATTTTTCCCCTAGGGTCTGTCTCTACAGATTTTAGGGGAAAACTCAGTTGATGGGAATAGATGTGATTTCACCATTATTCCAGATGAATAGCAGTCCCACTCTGCAACATGAAGACAAAAAAAAGACAAAAAAGAGGGATAGCTTGCCCTCATGCAAGGACTGGGACCCTACACCTGAGGCAGGAAAGTTAAGATTCCTAGCTAAGATCATAACTCAGGCTCCTCATTTGATTGGAATTTCAGATGCATTTACAACAGGTTTGATGGCTCAGGATTAGCTATGGTCTAATATGACCCAGTGGTCTCCCAGACTCAAGATCCTGTACTTATCTGAATGAATCCTCTGAATCAAATCATATTTCAAGTCTGGAGCTGCTCATGAAAGGGAGCTTCAGTCTGTCTGTACTCATCAGGATACAGACACACCATGAGATTCTCCATGGAAACTTCTCTAGGAGTAAAATTTTTTTTCAGGCTTTAATTCTCCTTTCCATTTCTCTTCTGCTCCTCCATCCTGTGAGTAGCACTTGGGTTGGGCAAAGAACTAATTCTTCAGTTTGGCTGGAAAAACAATAAACACAAACTGAAGTAGAAGAGTAATAGACAAAGTTAGGCTTTACAAAACACTAACAAAACAGAGAAATCCCTCAAAGATACTGTTTAAGCCAGATTCTGTTTTCAGACAGGACTCCCAGAAAATCACAAACAAAAAACCAAAAAAGCCAAACAAAAAAAGCCAAAACAAAAAGCCAAAATCACAGAACAGGATCAGCATCTGTTCCTGGTCCTCTTCCTCCCAGCAGTCTGCTCAGGAGTGATCTGAGTGTGGTGATCTTTCCCCAGGGACCTGCAGGTGTTGACCTGGAGACAACTTATTCTGAGAGACAGGAGAGGAAGAAGTGAGAAGCTTTTGTCCATTTGGGACAGGCTTTTTGCTGACAGCTCCACAGCATGCAGTGGTTCAAAGTTCAAGTAAGGCAAGACAGGTTAAATGTACTGCAGTCCTTATTATAATGTTCCCAGAAAAAAGACTTACTGAGGTAACTAGAGCATGCACTTCAGTCTGTGACTGAAACCAGATGAAATTATTACGATGATGAAAAAGACTTTAAGCAGCAGGGAAACATCGCTTACTGGATGTTGCATTTCCCTTTTAGGTTCAAGACTCTACATTCATCTGACCAACTTCTATATATGTTTTGTTTTTTTTTTTAAATCCCCTCAATTTTCCTTCTAACACTACCTTTTGTTATGAACAAAAATTTTTTTTCCAGAGTAACACTTGGAAGTCGTGACATAGGATTTTGATTTAAAAAAATCACACCTGGATTTTAAAAAATACATTTATATGGACATGAAGACAGATATGAATCTGTGCCACATGCCAGCTCCAGGAAAATAGAGAGAAAAAGCAGACTTAAAACAGACCTAGAGCTCTTCTTCAGCTGTGGTCCCTCATCTCTTTAGGAATGCATTCTTGACAAATTGATGCTTCCCCTCTCTTTGTTTATCTTTTTTACTGGATTTGTATATGTGACGGTATCCACAATTTGCAGGAGGTTACTATTTGTGAAGGTATTAACTTGCCTTACCCAATAAACACTGTCCTGCTTCTTTCCAAGTTAATCCAAGGTAAATGGTATTCATTTTCTAGGAAAAGAAAACCCACATTTATATATGCAGAGGTCCTGCTTTTCACAGTCTTCTTAAGGCTTAAGACAGGGATATTGCAGAAGCCAAAGGACAAAATCCAAATTTTTCTACACGTGTTTATCCTTCTCTAACTCTTACAGTTAAACAAATAATGTTCCATGACAAGTTAATAAAACATACTAATAGCATGTCAAGACAGCAGTTCACAAGATTTTGTGGATTAGCAGTGTGGTGGCCTACAAAGACTGCCCTTCTCCGAAGCATCTTTAGATAGCAAAGCCTTGACTAGTTTGGTGATGAAGCCTTCACAGTTCTTGGCTGAATTTTGAACTGCTTGGAAGGAGTCAGCTGGCTGCACAGGTTGTATAGCTACGTTAGTACCTGAGCCAAGACTGATCCTGTTTGCTTTGCCTTTGACCATTGCACTGGTATTTAATTATTTTTATCAAACCATCACATGGCCAGGGGTAGCATGGGCTCAAACTCACAGTATCATATCTTAAATCCCATTAGAATGGACTCATTCTGCCCAGCTTTAGACATCAACAATACAGATACATCTGAGCTGGTTCTCTAGAAGTAGCACTTTCTAGGGCATGATTCATCTGATCTGCAGAAGGCATCTAAAGCAGGTCAGCTGAATTCTGCTTTACAAGTATTACATGTACTGTCAATAAAGGGAGTTGGGAACTACAGATCTGCCTGCACCTTGGGTACAAGGATATGCTGTAATTGACTGCAGCAGATGATCACCTTTGATTCACCTCAGGTGGGGTAACTCACCCAAACCAATGCACTGAGCCTGTGCTGTGGTCTTCTCTCTTGTGACCAGTGACAGCACCCAGAGAATGGCTGGAGCTGAGTCAGGGGGATTAGGTTCAATATCAGGGAAAGGTTGCTGGGCATTGCCCAGGCTCCCCAGGGAATGGGCATAGCCCCAAGGCCACCAGAGCTCCATGAGTGTTTGGACAGCGCTGCCAGGGATGCCCAGGGTGGGATTGTTGGGGAGTCTGTGCAGGGACAGGAGCTGGACATTACAGTCATTGTCATTCTCATCCAACTCAGGATACTCTGGGACTCTTTGTAAATGGAGAGATATTTCAAGTCTCAGCAAAAGGGCACTGGCATGGGCATTATGAGCACTACTCACCTTCAGGGTGCTCCCAAGCCATTATGGCTTGAAGGTGAGTTTGATTCCTCTGACCAGTGCAAGGTGAAGACTAAAACGAGCATCACTTTACACTCCAAAGAGTTGTCAGAGAGCAGCAGCTGTCTTTTAAGACCAGTGTAGACTAGACCAGCAAAGTGAGCATTCACCAGAGATGAAGGTGTGAAACTGTGGCTAAACAACACCCTCCTGTTCCTCCTGATTTCATCTGAAAATCATGCACAGTTAACACTTCTAAAAATCACACCTCAGACTGCTACATCTCAAGCATTCTAAATCAGGATGTCATTTCCTCATACAGTAATTTTGTTTTGAATTTTTTTAAAGAAGTTTAAATAAGTTTGATGAGATTTTACTGCTACTTATTTAAATGACCTTAGAAATATAGGCTTGTTGGACACAGAAAGATAGTTGACAACTGCTAAGGCTAAACACTGATTATTAAGTGTTATCTTGCTAGATCTGTTTGCACTGGAGCACTTTTAGGAAATAGGCAAATAATAATAATTATGGTATCAAAGTTGGAGATGCTCAACTTCCATTGGTTTTTCCAAAGAGAGAACTACTTCAAATACTAAAATACTCATTCATTAGGAATTTTTTCACCTCTGGGAGGAGTCAGTTCATGACAACTCTTCCATATACCATCATGGTGAAGAGAAGGTAGCATATCACCACTGCTTCTTGAGAAACACTGAGACCTACTCCCCCCAAAAAAACCACATGATCTGGAGCAAAACCATGTAATTTGACAAGTCCAGGCTTATATTATTTGCAAAGGAGTTTAAAATCAAGTCTGTTTACAATTTTTAGGTAGTTATTACAGCAAATTTTCCAAACTGGATCTGGTATCCCATCTCAGCTGGCTTTTTTCCTCTTCTTTCAGTGCTCCCTCATACACCACACTGTGTTCTTGCCAGCTGACATTTCTTAAAAAGCCATTCTTCATGCTGGATTCAGCACTCCCTCTGTGACCAGAGAGTGTTTGAAGGTGTTCATCTGTCATTCAACAATGTTGTCAACATTCAATATCTCCCTTGTGCCTTATACTGATTTAACCTTTCTCTAAGAAAAAACTAGGAAGGGAGCTTTATTGGTAATGCTATCTGAAGTGATTTTTTTTTTTTTTTAATTCTTCTAATAGGATTCCGACTAAACTGCATTCCCTTTCAAAGAAAGGGAGAAAAAAAATGTATGTTCTTGATTGCAGGGTAAAATCTTCAGTAAAGTTTTGCAATTTCAGGTTGTGGGGATGCAGTTCCCTTTTTGACAAGCCCACGAGACTACTGTAGCCACCCCAACACTCATGATCAGATAAGCCACCACTTCTGAGAACAGCATGAAAAACCCAACAGGGCAGCTGAGGGGATTCCCAGGGTTATGTAATAACTAGCTCAAGGATTTCATCTGTGTGACCATACAAAGGCAGATACAGGAGGGAGCTTTTGTCAACCAGTCAAGCATCCTCCTGAATTGTTGCTAAATACAGGTAGCTACTGAACAGCCTGGCAGACATAGCTATAGAGTAAACTGGCAGGCTGCCAAGCATTTTCTGAACAATATCACCAGCTGAAACTTTCAGGAAAAGCTGCCACTTACCTGCAAGTAGACTTCAGTAATTTTTATCAGATTTCCTTGCTTTTCTTAATTCTGCTTCAGTTTAAGCATCCAGGCTGCTGGGCTTTCCCTTCAGTGGTACAAAATAAGTGGTTAGAAATTCCACTGACACACCATGTCACATTGAATCAACATCACCATGTAATCATGGGATTATACACTCTGAGAAAAACCTGGTGAGGCCAGTGAGGAACTTTGGAAGTGTTTTTCTGTGCAGAACTCAGCTGTATTAATTACAGAGAGAAAGACATGGTCATCAAGAAGTCAGATTTCAACTGCTTTCAAGGCATGTTTTTTCTGTCAAGGTCTCCATAAAGGTTATGTAAACTTTATTTAGTGAATTCTTATCATCAGATAAATTTTTGGAACAAAATGTTTTGTCATCAACAAATGTTAGCTTTAATAGAAATTAAATTGTTCTGAGAAGCACATAAGGTTTAAATTATTTTCTCTGAAGGAGTTCCAATCAATGTGACAGCTACAGAAATGGAGGCTCCTTCCAAGTACCTAAAATCATGGGCTTTGAAAGGCTGAGAAGGCCCCCATTTCAACCTAAGAGTGAATTAATTGGCTGTTTTGAAGACAGATCTCTCCTATTTCCCATGAACTTTCCCAAAGATCTCAGTTTGGAATGTAACAGTTTTTTGGGGTTTTTTTAATATCAGTTTCTTAGCCTAGGAAAAGAATGCTTCCCACACAACTCAGTTATATCATCCCAAAAGATGCAATTCCCCCATGCAAAAGAAAGACATTTTAGTCATGGAAGGTTTTACACAGTTCGGAGGAAGTGACAAAAATAGAAGCTGCAACAAAAATGCCCTCTATACTCTGTCTGTCTGCTGTGTAATCTGGAAAGCTAAAGGGGATGAGGGATCCTGTTTCAGTAGCAGGTTCCAGTCTCCAACATCTGGAAAAATCTGGAGCAAAACAAGTAATTTGCCTTTTCCAGTAAAACATTTTAAACGGGAGTTGATCTTCAGCTGGCAAAAATCAGTTCTGCTGCATTAACCCCACCAGATCTAACTAATCTCTGCTGTTGAGGGACACCAGAACCACCCCAATATCTCATGATGAATTATAATCCTTAGGATTTAGGAAAGGTTTTTTTGGTTAACCCCATATTATGCATGCATTCTCTCCATGTATGCATCCAACAAAGAGTAGGAAAAAGACCAACAAAGGCAGAACAAATCCCACGTGTGAGCTACAGAGTCGTAGCTGGGAATTTCAGCATGGCCCTCCCAAGCTGCCACTCCAGCAAGATTGCACGTGTGCTTTGTTTGGTCCAATTGCCAGATGGCTGTTGCAAATTGTCCATCAACACAGCCTCTCTGAGGGTGCCTTCATCACTGAGAAATCCTCCTCCTTACATTTGAATTCCACATGGTTCCCACGAGCAGTTTCTAGGCCATGAGGTAGCTTGTTTCCAGCTAGGCTGGCTTTGTGAAGAGCAGTGGAGACAAGCAGAAGTTCTCTTTGCCTCTCACAGACATCTCCATGATAGCATACAAATAAAAATAATGTGATTGACTCCTTTCCTAATCTGCATAGTTCTTTCCTTCCCCCCACCCCCCAGCATACAGGATCACATTTAAGCTTATTATAGAGAGATGATCTCTTTGAGAAATAACATTTTCCAACCATAATATCTTTGAAACAGGCTGTTCTTTGCTGGGCTTGGCCCATTCTCTTCTAGACTTTTAGTAAACAGAAAATGTATATTACACCCTGTCAATCCCCCTCAGTTTATGCAGAACTGTCCAAGTCAGCAGAATCTTGCACATCATATTTTTGGGAAGAGCCATCTGTCACAAACAAAACGTGGCCATGTGTGGCTCACTACCATGCACTACAATGTGGAATCCCAGAGCAGGATTTCCAATGTGCTTCCACCACCACATTCTGAGATGAGCAAGTGGGGTAGGAGAGGGAGCAGCTGCTCTCCAGCCAGGAGCTCCAGATAGCTGGATTCTCCTTTGCCTGTAGCTCGCTCTGATTTTCCACATCTATGTGCAGAATGTAATCTTGCTGACCTGACATATTTTTTTTTTCTGAAATTGATTTCATTTTCATAGCATTTATCTCAGTGAGTTTTCCCATGGAGCCAGCCTGGCAGAGCTGGGGCTGTTCACCTGCACAAGAGAAGGCTCCAGGGAGAGCTCAGAGCCCCTGCCAGGGCCTAAAGGGGCTCCAGGAGAGCTGCAGAGGGACTGGGGACAAGGCAGGGAGGGACAGGACACAGGGAATGGCTTCCACTGCCAGAGGGCAGGGACAGATTGGATATTGGAAAGGAATTGCTGGCTGGGAGGGTGGGCAGGCACACAGGGTGCCCAGAGCAGCTGTGGATGCCCCTGGACCCCTGGAAGTGTCCAAGGACTGGGCTTGGAGCAACCTGGGACAGTGGAAGATGTTCCTGCCCATGGCAGGGGGATGGAACTGGATGATTTTTAAGATCCCTTCCAGCCAAACTGTTCTATGATTCTGTGATTGAAACTGCAGCTTCAGATCCAGGAAATACGTAAGGAAGGAAGGTAGTAGCTCAGATTGCAATAGGATGTATCTGAGAATCTGGACCTAGTGTGCACAAATTTGACTGCAGTTGGCTTTATCTGTAGAAGCTTCAATCTGCAAATACCTATGACTGAGTTGGTACTATAAGTGCCCAGAAATTCAAGCTTTTGTGAGGGCTGTGAACATGCTAAAATTACGTTTGTATATTGAACTAGAGTAGTAAATTGGAAAAAATTAAAGAGATATTTTCAGGGAACAGAAACTTTGAAAGTCTCATGAAGAATTATTGATGTACTACTTTGGAAAAGTAGAAATGCTTCGTTGCAATTTTGAAAAACACTGTAATGAAATATTGAATATAATACACTGTATTAAACTACACAATTAATTCAGTAATTGCTATATGTCGAGACAAAACAGTATGGTAAATTCAAAGATGCATTTTTTCTTTTCTCAAAACAAATAATTTCTATGTTAGTAACACAAATAAGAAAATTAAAGCAATTTGCTGAGACATTTTTCCCATAAAAAATGTCATTGAAATAGTCGTGTTCCTACAAAATATTCCAGCTTCAATCAGCCTTCATTTTAAACATAAAATTGTTCTATCAAACATGTTTTCACTGGATATAATCCACATATATCACAGGCTATGAAGTTTACATTTCTATTTGCTTTTGCTTTTGTTTGATGTTCTGAGACAGGTTAGTGAAAGAAGCTTGTATTAGCACACTGTTGTGAAGCCACAAGACACATTTTTGAGCAGTGTAAATACACAGGACGATACCAGCAGAGTAACTGGCTTTGTGTTTTGAATTACTGCCATATAAAGTGCATCTTCAATACATCTGATATAGATAAAATACATAATATTAAAATTAGGATGTTTGGCATTCCACAGGGCCCACTCAGTATTAAATATGAAGAATCAACAGCCTGGTTAAGCACATTCTTATTTAGTGTATGAAAAACCTCAGCAGAATCACTGTGATAACTCCAGAACTGAAGGCAGCTGTATGCTGAAGTATCCCACTGAAGCATGGCCACACACTTTGGGAAGACAAAATCACAGCCCTTAAGGGGTTGGCCCAAATCTTATTGAAGTCAGTGAAAGTTTTCCATTTAGTTCACAGGTCTTTGGATGGGACCCAAAGAAGACAAGTAATGCATGAGACAGGCAGCGGGGGAAGCTGATATGCATTGTACTTGTTTATTTTATCCTTAGGGATATCTACAGCTGAGATCTACAGATACAATCTCCCCATATTTCTTCACTTCTAACAATATTTGCTGCTTATTTCTCATAAGTTTTGCTGTAGAGGAACACAGTTGACTATTGGGAATTTAACTGTTCCATGGAACATATCTGTCAAGCACCAGCAGGTTAAATAATGCTGACAAGTAACTTAAATCAGCCTTGATGGAAAGAGGCATGGATTCAAGCATCAAATAAGTAAACCACAGATCTGAACTCTGTGTTCAAAGCTGTATGAACACAGGATCGGTTTATCACATGATAAAGGGCATAGGGTTTAAGGCAGTCGCTGAGACAGAGTAACTCTATAGCAACATGAAAAGTAAGATTTAGTTTGGAACTCAGTCCCTCACACTGAGATCTGCTAGGTAACAAAGTCATCTCTCAAGGGAAGTGACTGGAGCCTGGCTGTTTTGAGACATGAAATGCTTGACCAGATAGATCCTCAGAAAGTATGTTGGAGGGAACAATTCTACACTTACAAAGAGAAACGGATTTCCTAACAGAGCTCTTCTAACTCATCTCAATGATTTAGTGATAAACTTATTCCTGACCTTATCAAGAGCACAGGGAAAGGCAGTAGTTCCACTGTAATCTATAAGGACTAATTAGATTTTTATTTTCTTTTTAGTAATTTTTTTTACTGCACAAAGTTGTGAGAAAAAATAGATTAACTTTTAAAATCTTTTGGATAAATTTTACTTAGGCACTTATTTCCCTAGCATAATGCTCTGTATCCTGTAAGAGGATGCCTTGATCATTTTTATCCAGCTGGAAGCTTTGACCAGGTACTCTTTTAACAAGCAGATATTCTGCATGTGAATATGTATGTTTAAAATTGTCAGGGAGGTTTATGGGAAAGTAAGAGAAAAGCACATGTTCCATTTTGAAACTTAATAATTGATTAGAAAGATAAGTTTTCTTAAGTACAAGAACTCAGAGCTCTGAGTGGTAATATAAAATTTACATGTATCTGTCTCATTTTCCAGCCAAAACGGGTCCTGTACTTAACTTACCAAGTTTTCCTTAGAGAATAAAAATGATCACATCAAATTTCATTTCCACAACCAGTTTCTGATAACAGTTACATCATGTGTTTCTTATGGGCACAAAAGGACAACATGTAGAGGAGAAATTTATACAATTATGATTGATGGTATGGTGAGTCATTTATGGTTTTGAAGGCAGCTCATTTGAATATATTTACTGAAAGCAAATGACATTGTGAATTTTAATGCAGTGTAGAGGAGCCCAGAGCTTTGGATGAATGCCTGTCATTGTTAAAAATTCAATGAGAGAAAGGAAATAAATGAGTAGCCAAGACCAATATGACCTTTACAAGTATTCAAAAGGGAAAGGATGCAAAAAGTCTGGCTGCAAAAATGCCCTTGCAACTGGCATATAGCAAATGCTTATGTCTGCCAACTAATAAATTAAGTAGAGCTCTGCATCAGTGGTTTTTTGCACCAGGTTACTTATACTGATGCCAGATTAGGACATTAGAATAAATCCTGGGGGATTTTTTAAGTCCCCCAGCTGCCAGCCTCTTAAGACAGCGGATGCATCATCCAAGCAGCACTACTGGTATATGTCTTGCCTTTAGGGCAGGAAATATTTTGGAGAATTTGGTCTGGTTCATGGCAGTCAGGAGCAAGGAAAGAGGAGCAGGATGGCTGTCTACACCCCACTGTACCCATGTGGTCAGCACATCTCAAAGTTTCTGTGAAATAGACCATGGGAGAATGGCTTTTCACGCAGGCATATAGTGGCAGGACCAGGGGTGATGGCTTCACGCTGAAAAAAGCCTGGTTTGGATAATGCTGGGGAGGAATTATCCCTTGTGAGGGTGGTGAGGCCCTGACACGGGGTTCCCAGAGAAGATGTAGCTGCCTCTGGTTCACTGGAAGTGTCCAAGGCTAAGTTGGATGGGGCCTGGAGCCTTCTGGGATAGTGGAAGGTGTCCCTGCCCATGGCAGGGCGTTGGGTATGGATGATTTTTAAGGTCCCTTCCAACTCAAAACCTTTAAGGATGGTGTGATGAAAATACTGGACTTACCCACCTTCAGATCTATGAGAGGGAACTCAAATCACCTAAGCACAAAAGTACCCTCCCTGTGAAAATAGTCTCAACAAGGTTTTCTAGTTTTTTCTTTTTTTTTTTTTTTATTAACTTTATGTTTCAACACCTCAGCAACCGAATAAGGGAAAAGGGAAAAGCACAACTCAAATTAGGTTAATCTTATCATGTGATATAATTAGTGTCACTAACATACATGCATGGGAATTAGGAAGAGATTTTTTGTTTCATTTGTCATGTGTTAAATCCCTAGCTGCAATTTTGGGGAATGATGTCTCCTAAATTTCTTTTGGAGACAGGATCAGAGGGTAATGAATGTTTGGCCTTACAATACTGTCCCACCTTTAGAGAAAGCATCATTGAGAAGGGCACCTGCTCACCCCAGATGATCACATCGAAAAACTTGGTCACACTGAGCAACACCAGGATGCTTGTCATTTCTGTATTGCATTTTGTGGCTGAGGAATAATCAATACAGGAGTAAGATAAATTACCTCCCTTGTCAGTTCCTTCTACAATCCTCTGATTTTTATTGTTTATGTGTCTCCAGTTCTAAAACATTATCATGCTCGGTCAGAGGATGACGAGATCTTGGTTTCAACTTTGTCAGTAGATAACCAGGTAATACTGAGTAGCCCTTTATAGTAAGGTTCAATAGTCTTTGAATGTTGTGCTGTACTTTGCTATGATGGATTAACAGCTTTTAAATCATTTTGGGGGTTCTAAGCTTCCTTGGGGACATTATTATACTCTACAGGTAAAAAACACTGTTGCTAAACCAGAAAGGATTTTACAGAGATGAGGAGTTTATTTTCAGCAAGCTGCAACTTGTGCTCTTCATACTACCTTCCAGTTCTTCAGCCATTGACATCAACACACATTATTATACAATCACCATCAAAACATTCTCCTTCATGCCTGTGGCCCCGAATGCAATATATAACACAACACCCCTCAGAGGTCCCAAACAAGCCAGTGTGGCAGCCAAAAGCAATTGTGCTTTATCAGCTCAATGATAATTAATCCTGCTGAAAGGCCAGTGTAATTAGCAGACTCCTCAGCCCAGGCCAGTGTCCAGCTGTGCTCCAAGACCTCAAGTGTTGGCTCTGCGTAGTGAGATGTACCCCACAGTGGGAGACAGCTGGAGTTGCTCAGCATGGGTGAGCCCTGGACACTTATGCCTTGAATGGTTTGATCTCTTTCCTTCCCTGCTTCTTATTCCTTTTCTTGGAAGGTATTTTACCAGGTGCTTGATCCAACTGTAGGATTGCATTTAAGTTATCCTCTCAGGACCAGCAGACCATCTATCCTTCCTTATAGATTTGAGCTGGAAAGGACCTTCAAAATCATCCCATTCTACACCCTCTGCCATGGGCAGGGACACCTTCCACTAGTCCAGGCTGATCAAGCCCCATTCAACCTGGCCTTGGACACTGCCAGGGATCCAGGGACATCCACAGCTGTTCTGGGCACCCTGTGCCAGGGCCTGCCCACCCTCCCAGCCAGCAATTCCTTCCCAATATCCCATCTGTCCCTGCCCTCTGGCAGTGGAAGCCATTCCCTGTGTCCTGTCCCTCCCTGCCTTGTCCCCAGTCCCTCTGCAGCTCTCCTGAAGCCCCTTCAGGCCCTGGCAGGGGCTCTGAGCTCTCCCTGGAGCCTTCTCTTGTACAGGTGAACAGCCCCAGCTCTGCCAGGCTGGCTCCAGAGCAGAGGGGGTCCAGCCCTGGCAGCCACTCCGTGGCCTCCTCTGGACTCTCTCTAACAGGCACAAGTGCTTCTGTGTCTTATAAAACACAGATTGAAAACTTGACTCATTCTGGCAGCAGAAGACCAAATATGAAACCGTTCACTGTCTAAAACAATATTAAGTTGCCTGTGATTCCCATGAACTAATGAGAATTCCCAGCTAATTCCCATCACAGATTTCCATACCAATGGAAATTTTTGTCAATGGGCCAATTTAAATTTTGTTTGATGGGGGGTGGTGTTCATAAAAAAAGTCAAGAAGTAGTTGACAGTATAAAATTCTAATCTATCAAAACAGAAATGCCAACAGCATTTGAGAGTTAGAATTCAACTAATCAATAGTCATTGATTTTCAGTGCACAGTGGGATTCATCTCCCCCACTTTAGCAATCTACAATTTATAGTCTCTCTTAAGCTTTCTTCTAGGTTTCCTGAATGGAGAGAAGGCGGAGAGAGAGAAAGAAGCACCTCCAGCAAATGATTAATCTACTCCTAAGATAGATGTTTGTAATATGTAGTAGAAAGACTATTACCTTTCTTTTCTGGTGTAAAAAGGACTAGATGACCTGCTGAAACCTGCTGATGTCCATGGTCCCACCATCAGGGACTTCAGCTGTATTTTCTAGATAAAGCCTAAAAAAAAAAAAAAAAAAAGTTGAATTGCAAAAACAGGCTAAAGGACCAATTCTGGATTTTCTCATTTCTGCTATAACTCTCAAGCAGACAGTGATTTTCATAGGAGAAGATACAGGCCAACAGAGGCTGGTTTTGAAAAATACCCTTCGTAATGACCTAAGTTCAGGGAACAAACCCTCACTGAAGCCTGTGTGGGTTGCTGAGAGTTCGGTGTTTTTTGAGGGTATTTTTAAAAGCAACTGTCTGCCTAGATGCCTAAATACACACTTAGAGGTGTAACTTTTGCCATCTTTTTCCAAAGACATCAACTAGCGATATGAGGTCTGCAAAGAAAATTGACATAACATCATCTCTCCTCACTCTAGGGGTAATGGGAGGGAGAGAAAAATGTCCATCTCTGGAGCAGCAGTAGATGCCAAACTGGAAAGCATCCAGCTCAGTGGCATGCAAGAAATATAATACATTATTTCAATGCAAGCATTTGGGTTTATTTGGGGAATCAATTAACAATAAGTGCATACATCCATTTACAAAATGGTAGTGTACCAGACACATACACACACAAGTTGTAATTGAAAGCTGAAATAACACCAGAAGGAATAATCATTAAAGCAAAACAAAAAACATCTCCAAAAAGCCAAGAATAATATTTAATAAAATAAAATAATTTATCCATCTGCAGTTACATCCTTAGGGAGAGGCCACAGACTAACAAGCAAGCAAATCTAGATAGAAATGAAAATAACGTGAAAGCAATGGGAGGAACAGGGGAGAGATTTCTTTGCAGATTAGCTGCTTATGAACCAAAAGTATTTCAATTTGATCACTTGTTTGTAGATATGTTTATCAGAGGATGGGGAATTCCATCATATGTTCCTACAATCCTGAAGAATAATTACTCTTTTCCTCTTCAGAAGTTTCACTCTAATAGCTGGCACAGCCACAGAATTCTGGATCTCCCGTCCAAGACACCAGCTGAGGTCTCAAGAGCCTACTTTCTTTGCTTAAACCATAGAAGTCCCACAAGCTAACCAGGCTGTGGTTCCCTTCATCTTTGCTGTGAACATGTACCACCTGAGGCACCTAAAAACCCAGGCCCACAAAAACTCCAGCGCCCAGGGTCACTTGACAGCACCTACTGGACACTCCCTGGGAAACTGAATGCCCTATGAACCTCAATATGTGTTTGCTTCTAACTCAGTTCCCTCAACATTAATTTGCATGCTGGGATTTATAGTCTTTAATTCTTGATTTTCAAGTAAAATTGAAAGGAAAAAAAAAGTCAAGGAAAAAGCAATTCTGTCTTCTGTACATCTGGACATATGCTACAAAGACAAATGGACCTCGGTGGAAGGAGTCTTGGGGGACCCTGTAAAAAAGGCTCAGGGGGCCCTGCAATTAAGGAACTGATTTAATAGATGTTCACTGACTATGCACAACTGCACTTCCATGTACTTCCTTATATGCCTGCAGGTATAATGGCTCTGCAAAACAGCTCATGCACTGCTTTTGTTTGGATCTTGCTGCTTTTCCCAGGAATCCCATTCACAGAAATTAAACTTCTATTCTTATTGAAATTTATGTAACCTGCAGGAGATATGAATTTTTTTACGTATCATATGAGTCAGAAATGGAAAAGATTTGCTAAGATATAGGAAGAATTGAGCTGGATACAATTAGCAATGCTTTTAATCCAGATTCTTCCTCCAAGAGTTCCTCAGAGGAAGACACAAGAATTCCCTCTGAGCAATTATGGACTAATTTTGCTATATAAACCTGTCAGCAGTAATGATTGTATACCCTGTAGTATGAGAGTTTATGTTATATTCTGCTTCCGTTATGCATCTATCTATCCTCTGTGAGATAACTCAGAGTATTCCTAACTATATTTTCCTCCTGCAAAATTGCATGCCCAGTAATACTTTACCGTAGTGGGTTCCAGAGAGCAATTAAGCAGCGTAGGAGGAAAAAAAATAGTTTACAATAATGAAAAACGTTTCTCCCTACTGCCCAGTGTCTGACTCACCATGTCCTTACCAGGTCTTTGCTGTGGTCTCTGGTCTAACTCTTGAGCCACATGTCTGAACTTAAACTCACCTATGTGCCTCACAAGTAACTCTGCCACCTCCAAACCAGACCTCCCTCCTTTTTTACTGCCCACTGCCTTATTATAAGACACTTCCAATTACTTCACCTTTTGCCAAAACCTCCTTGAGCCTTGTCCCAGTAGAAGCCAACCACTTGCTCTTTGGAGGCCCTCCATAACAGGTGAGGATGAGTGAGGGATGCCCTGAGGCAGGCTATCCACCTGTCCTCTGTCATGTCACCCTTTGGCAAACATGCGAAGGGTTCAAGTAGAAGGGAGGATGTGGTTTTCCTTTACAAAACCAAGGGACACAGAGTTTCAAATATTTCAACTGCTTTAACCAACTCAGAATCACAAAATCATGGAATGCTCTGGGTTGGAAACAAAGTCCTTCCTACTCCAAACCCTCTGCCTTCAGAAGGGACACCTTCTACTATTCTAGGCTGCTCCAAACCTCATCAAATCCGGTCTTAAACACTTCCAGGGGTGAGATAGCCACAGCTTCTCTGAGCAACATGATTTTTTGGGCCGCTAGCTAGTTCCTGAGAGGAGAGTTTTCCCGCTGCCGAAATAGAGTAAGTCAGGTATTGCATAGCCTTTCCTTGCTTCCCATCACAATTAATCTATGTTGACTGATGGTTTAATTCTAGGTGTTGATCATTTTAATTTCTTACTCCCTCCCTCTCTCATTTCTCTCTGTGATTTTTCTGTCTCTCCAGTTATGTATCCCTCCATTCTGGCAAGCATTTGCAATCCTGATGGCTCCTCTGATTTCTCAGTTTTCCAGTTTCTCTCCTATTTTTGAAAGGCTAAAGAGGGAAGGGAAAAAAGGAGGAGAAAAGTCAAGCTATAGGATGTGGTACTGACCCCTGGCCCAGATTGGGCCTATTTAGTCCCCATGCAGTCTGAGAAGTTCTTTTAGCAATCTTTGGTAAAGCCTACAGGAAATGGGAAACTGCTGGGTCTGGGACACTGTTTGACCATTTCCTGTAGGCATGGCAGGGAGAGAAGCCATGCTAAGGAGAGATGCAGGCAGCACAGTATGTGGGGAACAACTCAAAAAAAAAGTTCTCAAAACATGGCTCTATCTTCAATAATTCTGAGGAAAGATAGAGGTGGTTCACAAGCTAAAGGCTAATCTGCTGAAAAAAATTTTGGACAGTGCCTGGAAAATCCCACAGCTTTGCCTTGCCTTGCCCTGCCCTGCCTTCCCGCTGGCCAAACTACTGCAGTCCTTTCTAAAGTGATGGTCACTGCCTGGTCATCACCACAGACACCCTTTGCACTTGCTCCTGATGGAAATTCATTTATTCATTTCTGTCTCATAGCAGGACTTTCAGGACAGGAAATACTTTCACTGAACACTCCAGGACCGTAGTTTACTTTCAATTTTTAAAATTTGTTTCTTTATTTTCCAGTTTGAAAATCAGAGGTCTCCATGCTTGAGGAGATCAAGTTGCCTTTCCTCTAGCCCTCCCTGTGGATAGGACCACCTTGCAGAGAATTTATTATTTTCCTCTAAAGCCAAACATGATTAATCTTGCAGCATCTAGATAAGCACAGTTCATGCATCTTCAGCTGACCCAGACTCCTTATGGAGCCCTTACCATCAAGAGTGAGTGATAGCTACACTTAGTGCAAAGTCCTTTAAATGTACCTTAGGTACCTATTCTAAAAAGACTAAAAAGTGCTTTTGTCGTTTCTAACAGTAAAGAGAATTCATGGTGAATAACTCCTCCACAGAAATTTGCTTTTAGTCAGACGACTGCCACCATGGATGGACAACCTACATTTTGTATGACTGAGCCTTGCCAGGTTTCTGTGACTAACAATCTTCCATCGCACTAATAGTATCCTCTAATTTCATGTGGCCAGCAGATTTAATCAGTGCATTCCTGCATTGTGTACATATTAAATCAGTTCAGTGAGATGAGAGATTCCACCAGTAGCTTCCCTCCATGGGAACAATCAGCCTCTAACTGAGACCCTCTTGCATTTTCCCATGCAGCGGGTTTATGAACCTGTTTGTTCCTCCATCTCCTCTTTAATGAATAACTCAGTATGTGGCAACAAGCAAAATGCTTGCCTGTGGCTGAGACTTTATTTTTTAAGGACTTTATTCTGAGAGAAGATGGTAACAACTCTCTGTCCCTCCAGGTAGCTACAGCATGGTATGTGTGTTTAACAGATGCCTTCTGATACCAATCCCATCCATGCACGTGTTTTACCTCCTACGTTTTTTCCTGTTGCACGATTCTTGGCTCTGCTTCACTGCACTGCAAAGCGTGCTCAGATCACTGCAAATAAAAAGGGCATCATCAGGAGTGGTGGTTGCACCTTGAGATGATCAGGACTGAAGCACATACCACTGAGGCCACCTGGTGTACGGAGCAGGGCTGCAGTCCATCTGCCTGCTCCTGCTGCATAGCCTAGCATGGAAAATTAAACAAAAAAAATATGAAAAGAAGGAAAAAAATAAAAAACTCCAGTGCATTTAGCAAGAGACAACTCTGACTCCTGAAATGCAGCACTGAGGCTGCCTGTCCTTGCTCTGCAGGGGTACATGTGGGACTGCTCCAAGGAGCCTGAAAACTGAGAGTTTACCGGTGTTGCAGGGAGCAGACCTCAAAAAAACAAAGGGCACCACAGTGGAGAAGGCTCATTTAGTGAAATGGATTGGCTCTGAAACACTACCAGCAGGAGTGAACAGGGACAGGGGCAGCCTTGTTCTTGTTGTTATGTCCCTCATCTCCTTATTTGAGGCATGAGGAAAGGATCCCTTCAGCATACTGTCCTTGAATGGATTCCACTTCCCAGCACAGGTGGATAGATTTGAGTGCCATCTTCATTTATATTACTTTTTTTCCCTTTTTTCCCTACCCATCTCGAAAAGTGTCTCACCGCTTGCGTGTGACAACAGAGAGGAAAAACTGTGCCATGAAATTAGCATTTGGAGTGACCCC